GGTGCTATGAAATGACGTTCCCCATAACCAAACAAACACAGAATTTCAAAAGTGAAACTGACATAACACTAACACCCAGATTCATGTGACGTCTACAAAACCAATCAAAACAAATACAACATATAATTTAAAATCTTAAATATAACTCTGAGCCAGTTCTCTCCAAATTTTCTGATGAAGCTAAATAGCGAAACATGTCAAATTTATAAAGATTTCCTACTTATTCCTTATTCAATGACTATCAGCTCAGAAGACAAATCGTTCGATTTTGAATACAGTGATATTTTATTGCTCATTGCACATCGTATGTTATTGGATCAAAACCTTTCTTTGTAAAAGGAAACAACGGTGCAATGTAAAAATTATTGTTACTCACTATTAGTATCTGTACATTTAAAACACAAAACTTATTGCTCAAGTGGTTTGAAAAATGTCGCAAAAAATTCAATTTGTTCAATGGAAATTGAACTACTAGTTGATCCAAGCCATCAAAAATGACACCATTTTAAATATATTTTCCAGTTATAATTTTGTACTCTAATCTTTCAATTTCACCATCGTTATAAGAAAGACCCTGCTACCTGGATAGAGAGAGAGAGAGAGAGAGAGACAGAGAGAGAGAGAGAGAGAGACAGAGAAAGAGAGAGACAGAGACAGAGAGAGAGAGAGAGGAGAGAGAGAGAGAGAGAGAGAGAGTGAGTGAAGTAACTGAAAACTCTTAATAACATACAAATTATTTATTTTAAACTTAAAACATCCCAAAATCACTAAAACGATAGAGAAATCCAAATTGAAATTTAAGCGTGATATTATTTTTTAAAATCATTTCCCCCCAAATATTCCGACAATGCCACTTGGACATAGGGCGTTACAGGGTGTGAAAGAGATTGAAAAGACTTTAGTGAGGAGAAGAACAATAACGGAACAGGATTTAGGAAGACAGAAGATGGCGATTGTTGTTGCATTTAAATTTTTGAAGATTTTAGGTGGTAGGTAAGCAAGAAATCGGAAGGAAGTTCTAGAGAAAAGAATCTATTAGAAAATTAGAATTGTTGGTTGCATCTAGCTAGTTTAATAGTAAAACATTGAGGCCCAGTTGCCAATCTAAGAGAACGCTTAAATGTGTGCAGACGAGGCACTAAGGAGAATCAGAATAATTGCCATGAAAATATCTGTAGAAAAGACAGGGGGAAGACACGTTACATCGATGGGAAAGTGACTGAAGTGAAGATTCCAGGTCAAGATCGATTATATTACAGACCATTCTTTGAATTTTGTCAAGAATCAGGAGATAAAACTTGAAACAGGTTTTCTCGATTAATTAAATTAATAGAATTCAACTTTATCAGAAAACCATTTAATTATCATCTCATCGTCGTGTACAAATATAATAACATGTTTGTTTTAATTTCTTGCAGAAGCATCAGTTTTGGTTTTTTGTGCAATAATAATCCATTCTGCTTCTGAATTGATCCGCATAGGCCAGTACATTTTGTCCATTTTTCGTTAGTATTGCTGTCTTGTGTCCTTTCTGTGCTACAAAGTTCACCTTCTCGGGATTAGATTCTTTGTCTTTTTTATACCATACACTTTCACTTGTTGAAAATGACAATGTTATGGAAACTCTAATCTGTCTACCCATTAATGCGGAAGGACTTTGTAGTCTGCCGGTATGTGGTATTATCCTATAACTCAACAGTAATCTTGATAAGTAACTCTCTATCTTATCATTATATGGCGAAAAGCTTTTAGTATCATTTTCATCGTCTGCACCATTCTTTCTGTGATTCCATTCGATTATGGATGGTAAGGTGGTGTTTTATAAACTTTAGACACGAGCACAAACTTGCCTCGCGCGTTATCTGAGACCAAAGTTCTAGGCACCCTATTTCTTGAAAATATTGTTCATAATATTTGTTTTACATTGGTGGCTTTCCGGTCAGTAACTTTAATTACTTCGGGCCATTCTGAAAATGATTCCACTAAAATTAAAAATAGTCCTATGCCTTTAATATGGGCATGATTCATGTGTACGATTTTCTTTAATTTTGCAACTACCATGGGTAGAATGTGAATAAGTATTTTTCGAAATTCAAAATAGAGTGAGTGACTATTTTCTTTTAAACGAATATTCGCTTTATATCATTTCAGTTGTTCTATGTCTATGTTTATATTTTCTACTCTTTCTATTCTCTTGTTGCATCTGCAAACAGATTGGAAACATAATTTTCTTAAGAGTGGACATTTCTTTTTGTTTCGTGTTCTTTGTCTCAATATTTGCACTTAATTAGGATATCAGTTGTGTCGTATGTTTCCACATTATTTTTAGAATTATTAAATTCATTAATTAATTCTAATTGCTGCAAGAATTCTACACTTGCTTCTAAATTCATATCATTCGCTTGTAGCCATTCTAGGATCTTATGTTTGTAACATCATACATGCTTTCAATTAGTCTTAGAAGGATCAATTCGTCTTCCTTTCTCTCGAAACAATTTTTTCAAATTCACAATATCTTGATGCTTCTGTCAATCTGTATAAATATCTCATTAAGGTTTCATTTAGGTTCTGTCAGTTTTCCAGAAATTTTATTCTTTCTGCAATAACCACCTTTTTTGGTTGCATGTTTCTTTTTATAATAGCAATTTTATTCTCTTCTCCGGATGCTTTCTTGTTTTTTAGTATCATTACCCTAGCCAATGTTGCGAAACATCTAATTCAAGTTTCTACGTGCTCCGGCTCATCCAACGCAGTTAGAGATCCTATCGGCGACGCCATATTGTTATGAAGTAGAGTAATTTCTTGAATATACGTTGTCAGGTCAACAGATGGTAGCTCGACTGGCGTACTGCTTTTATAGCAGTACCTCATTTACATACAATATTACATAACCACCACTATATAATTAAATAGCACTATTTAAATTAAATATTACTATATTAAAATCTGATAGTAGAAATGAGACCCAATACTAACGATTTTGTTTATTCCAAATTATCAAATGCGTACTGAAAATGATTGGTAAATAATTTTCATAATAAAATGATTAATAAAAATTACTTTGTCGTAGGATGATAGTATGTTTGGGGAAAATATTAATCACCATTATGCTGCAGGAATCAACACTTTGGATAGTAAATATTTAAGGGCTCCTGGAACATTTAGCTCGCAAACAATATTAGCGGACTCAGTGAGAGTCCAAGTAAAAATGACTAACACAAAACAATAAATTTAAAACAAACGACAATGCATGTATTAACAAAAGGAATTACATGTGTGGATAATTGTAAAAAATATTAAATTGTTATAAGAAGAATGTGCTTGTTTGTGTATGTGTACGTAACAAGAGTCTGTGATAGACATGTGTGTGTATATGCGTGTATGAGAGAGTTCAAAAGTTAAAGTAGGACAATTTGCAAGTTGATATAAACGTGAAATACAAATGATAATTCACAAAAGTATAAATGAAAACTGAGAAATGAAAAAATGCAGGAAAATGATACAAAAAATCAGAAATATAACTGAAATATGTAAATGTGCAAGAAAGTGTTAAAATCATACATATTAAAAAAAACCTGAGAACAGAAGAGGTTTTGTCCTTAAGTGATAGAAACGTTAAATATAAATGAAAATTCATAAATAGCCAAGTTAGGGAAGTTATAAGAACGATATATATATATATATATATATATATATATATATATATATATATATATATATATATATATATATATATATTTATGAAAATTTATGAAAAAGAAAAATACGTGCAAGTAATTGATAAAATCGTTAGGTATAAATGAAAACTGAGAATGGAAAAGTTGTAAGAAAGTGATAAAAAAAAAGCTGAAAACTGAAAGTGGCAAAAAGTGATTAAAAAGGTTAAATATAGATGAATAATGTCAAAGAAAAATGTGTAAATATTAATAAAAACCGTGAGAGGAAAATTTGTAAGAAAGTGATAAAATAATTAATTGCAAAAATGTTGGTCATTTTGGCACGGTCAAATGGGGTGACCCACAGATTAACGAAATGAGAAGGAAATATTTTCGGAACGGTAGAGATATCATGTGATAGAAAATATAATCTACTCTATTTGAAAAGAAGGAAAATGATACACATTGGAAAATATGAAAGGCAGACACAGGATAACAGTAATGGATACTGAAAATACATGAAACAATATGAATAGTGATGGAATATTTTTACAGGTATTAGTTGTGACCCCATAACAATATTTCAGTTCAATGGCTAAGCAGAATATCAAACCGACGGTACATATACTTGTAACATTAGACTGAAAATGCTTGATGAGTACGTGATGTTGAAGTTTGTACATGTGAAGCAAAACAGAAATAGAAGACAATGAGTTTGTTTATAAAGAGTGACAGCTGACGTTGACAAAAAGTGGGCGCCATTTTCATATAAACAAGTGTTTAAAATGGCGGTAATGCAGTTAAAAGGAGAATAATACATAGAAGAATAACGAAACAAAGAGAGAAAAAGGAAAAAGAAAGAAAAGCAAAAAAGAGGAGGTAAATCTTTAGTTCGTGGAAATGAAGAAAGACATGTAAAATAATAGGGAAAGAAAAGGAAAAATAAGGAAAAAGAAAGAAAAGTAAAAGAAAAGGAAACAAAAATAAAATAAAGTGAAGAAAGAATAATAATCAAAGGAATAAAAGAGAAGTAAGAATGGAAAAAGTAAAAAATTATGATAAAGAATGAATGAATAAAAGGCGGTGAAAATAGTATGTGGTCATATGAAAAAGGATGGCAAGAAAGAAAAAAAGAACCGACAAATATGATTTAAGAAAAATAAAAGAAAAATTGGATGGACAAATTTTATTCTATTTCCTATTGGAAAAAGGCATAAAAATGGGACAAACTTTGAATGAGGTGTTTTCATCAAATAAAAGACAAATGCGAGAAAGATTTGTATGTATAAAAGAATTAAGTCAATAAATTGATTATATCAGTGACATTATTTTTATTCCTTATTTTTATAAGAAATAAAATGAAAAAATAATTAATAAATCATTTTCTTCATCATTGAGTGAAGCAGTGATGAAGAAGAGAAGGGACGATGAAAAGAGAGAGAGAGAGCGAAGAACGGAAAGAAAGAAAAACTGATGTTGGGGAAAGAGAGACAAATTAGTGGAAAGATGAAATAACCTGATACATCGAAAAAAATTAAGGAACGAAAAAAGAAAAAAAACTAGAAAGAACGTGAAACTTAAAGAAACGAATAAATAAACAAAGGAAAAAGCAAAAAAAAAAAAAAAAGAAATTCAGATTAAAAAAAGAAGAACAATATTTTTAAAATAAAGATGACAATGAAAAAATGAAGAAGTGAAGAACAGAAATTAAAAATCATAAATAATAAATAAAATGAAGAAAGAAATAAGTCTGATGATGTTCACGGCTTATTAAAAATAAAGGGTATTGTCCATGATTAACCGGATGTGAAAATGTGTGAATTTGCGATTGTGGATCACAGTGGATAAAATTCAAACGTGAGATAATCCAGAAAAATATGCAAAATAATCTGATACGGGGTAAATAATTTCTTGAGATTACTTTCACCAAGAAAATTATGCAAAAAGAGAAGCCGTAAACGAGAAATGGTTAAAAGAAGAAAAGAAGATGAATAGAAAAAGAAGGAAAGGAAAGAGATATAAGAAAGGAGGAAAGAAGGAAAGGAAGGCATGCAAAAAAAGAAAAATGAAAAGGTCAGAAAAATGAATTGATGTAAAAATGAAATACAATCGAGGAAAAGAATCAAGAGAAGAAAGAAAAAAGAAGAAATAAAAAAATAATAAAAAAAGTATTAAATCTAATTTTCTTTTTAAAAATCCGCTGTTTTTTTTTCTAAAGATGCTTAAGGCTGACAAAATTACGAAAATAATTGCTTCTCCAAGATATGAAGTCAAGTGTAAAAACATGTCCGTCGTTTATTATAAAAATATTATTAATGCTGGACACAGACTCATCAAAGAAAAGATAAATTGAAACTGTGGAATGACAGACAAGAATAACTAGCCTAGTTTTCGTAATAAATGCAGGTGTTTTTGTCACTCAGAAAAAAAAGTCCTCACATTTTATTAGGTTCTAGACTTTTCTTCTGGAATTTGAACAAGAAATAAAAAAAAATCTTATCTATTCCTAAGTCTAACCTCCGAAACTTATACTTATTATTAGTTACTTTTTTTTTTAAGCGTTTCACCCCAAGCAAGGCGAGAAGCCACTAGGACGCAAGGGGTTACAGAAAATTTGGAGCAAGACCAGATAGGAGTGATAGAAGAAAGGATGAGGTGAAGGGTAGTGGATAGATCAAGGCAACTGGAGATGTCAATTGACATTACAGTTGAATAGCTGGAGATTATAGCTCTCAAGGAAACTGGAATAGGGAAGGGAGTTCCACAGGCGAGAGGTGCGAGACATGAAGCTATTGGAGTAGAAGAGACAGCTACATTTAGGAGTTTCGACAGTGAAGGGGTGAGAGCGGGATGCCAGCCTCGTAGGGCGCTTGAACTCATAAAGTCTGGGAACCAGCGAATGCAGCTCCTCGGAGCAATTGCCATGAAAGTATTTGTAAAACAGACAGAGAGAGGCGACGGCGCGTCTGTGAGAAAGTGACTGTAGACGAGATGCCAGAGCAGGGCGAATTATATTGCATATCCGCCTCTGGAGCCTATCAAGAACCCCGAGGCAAACAGAAGGGGCTCCAGACCATATATGGCAGCAATACTCCATGCAAGAGCGAATTATTGATTTGTAGATCTGGAGGATCGATTCCGAGGAGAAAAATTTTCTGGCGCGGCACAGGGAGCCAACGTTCCTTGCGGTGGACGAAGCAATTGACTCAATGTATTTGTTCCATCTCAGGTCAGCAGTCAACGTGAGACCGAGAAGCCGCAGAGAGGTGCTCTCGAGAAGTTGAGCGTCAGGAGGGCAGGGAAGGATCTCTGTGGTGATTAATAGAGAGCAGTTTTGTTTTTGAAGCATTAAAGTTGATCAGCCAATTCCTGCCCCAGTTCACAACCGATTGGAGGTCCTTTTCGAGACGCACAGCCAGGTTAGTTTTGTCAGTGACACTAGATTTGTTTTTGAGGCAGAAGTAAATTGTGGTATCATCCGCGTAGATGCCAACTTGGGAATTTATGGCGTCTGGAAGATCATTTATGTAGATAAGGAATAGAGTGGGGCCTAGGATGGAGCCTTGAGGAACACCTGCGTTCGTGGGATAGGAACTGGAGGAGAATCCGTTGAGAACAACCTTCACTTCCCGATTTGACAGGAATGATTGTATTAGGTCAAACAATCGACCCGTAATGCCATAACCCTGGAGCTTGCGAACTTGTTACAAAGGTACCATATCACTTGTAACTCTTAAAGAAGCACAAATCGTTATAGCCCGTTACATTTAAATTGAATATCCTAAATTGTTCGAATATTTCTTTTGATATATGAGCTGCATATTTTATTGGTTATTAAATTATTATTATATTTTATGCTCGTTGAGTTTTCACACCAGTAATCTCTGGTGATCAAATGACATCAAGTATTATTTATTATTATTAAAACTATAAGAAACATTACAGGACCATTTCAAGTATGCCAATAATGTGGGATGCAACTGTCATTTTTATGACTAAATTGGAGGAATAATTTTATATCTAAATTAAAGGAATAATTTTAATGATTGTCTAGTTTTATTTTCACTTGTTGGTTTACTGCAAGAGAGTCTCTAATTTTTATATTTTCTATGAGAGCTATTTTTATTTGTGCAGATATTATTAGCTTTTATACTGAAATCCAGGTCATTTATACAATTCCAAGTGGCTCACCCGTTCTACCTAGTTGTGTCGGCTTTTGCTGAAAAAAATATATTTCTGTATAAAAAGTCTAAAACATCAGAAGAATGTGAATGTTACAGAAAAGACTAAATCGGATAGAAAAATTTAATGCTTACATATTTCTAGATAGAAAAGTTTAAATCTTCTGAAGAATGTGCATTTTTACATATTTCTCAGTAGAAAAGAGGAAGTGTGCTGAAAAAGTTGCATATTTACATATTTCGAAAGATAATGTCGAAATCTACTGAAGAATGTGAAGTTTTTAGTATTTCTCAAAAAAAAAAACTAAATCTGCCAAAAATTTGCATATTTAAGTATTTCTAACCAAAAAGACAAAATAATCTGAAGAATATGCTTTTTTTATATATTTCTTAAGAGAAAAGACGAAATCCGCCGAAAACAATGCATATTTATATATTTCTAAATAAAAAAAGTCAAAATCTTCAGAAGAATGTGCATTTTTAGATATTTATCAATAGAAAGAAATAAATCTGCGGAAAAAAACTGAATCTATACATATTCTTAAATAAGATGTATAAATCTTCTGAAGAATGAGCACTTAGCTTATCTCTCAACAGAAAAGACTACATCTGTCTCAAAATATTTATATATTTGAAAATAAATTATCTAAATCTTCTGAAAAATGTGAATTTTAAAATATTTCTAAATAATATGACTAAATACCCTGAAGAATGTCCACTTTTACATATTTCTCCACGAAAAAAAAACTAAATTTGCTGAAAAGGACTACAGAAGTTTCTAAATCTGCAGAAAAAGTAGAATATATATTTCCAAATAAAAAATAAATCTGAAGAATGTACACTTTTACATATTTCTCAATAGAAAAGACTAAATATGCTGAAAAATTTGCATATTTCTTTTGAAGAATGTTCATTTTTACATATCTCTCAAGAGAAAAGATTAAATATTCTGAAAAAGTTACATATTTACCTATTTTTAATATTTAATCTTCTGAAGAATATGCAATTTTGTATATTTAGATAGAACTCTCTGTTATACAATAGAAAAGTATAAATTTGCGGAAATATGCATATGATTTCTAAATAAAATACTAAGTCTTCTGAAGAATGTGCATTTTTTACATATTTCCCAACAGAAAAATATAATTCTGCCGACAAAGGTGCATATTTACATATTTCTTAATAGATGTTTGAACCTTCTGAAAAATGTATATATCTGTTGAAAAAGATGCATATTTACCTATTTCCAAATAAAATAGACTAAATCTTCTGAAGAATGCGCTTTTTTACATATTTCTCAAAAGGGAGAATAAATTTCATGAAAAGGTGCATATTTATTTATTTCTAAATAAAAAAGTCAAAATTCTCTGATGAATGTTCCTTTTTATACATTTCTCCATAGAAAAGACAAAATCCGATGAAAAGTTGAATATTTACATTTCTCAATAGAGAAGTCTAAAAACAGAAAATTTTGCATATTTACAAATTTCTAAATAAAAGGACTAAATCATCTGAAGAATGTCCGTTTTTACACATCTCTCCACGGAAAAGATTAAATCTTCTGAAAAATATACATATGTACCTATATCTTAATAAAAAAATAAATCTTCTGAAAAATGCACATTTTTTCATATTTCTTTAAAGAAAGTCTAAATTTGCTGTAAAAGGTGCATATTTATACATTACAAGATAAAAAAAGACAAAATCTTCTGAAAAATGTTTCTTTTACACATTTCGCAATTGAAAAGTCACAATCTGTACTAAAATGTTGCATATTTACCTATTTAGATATTTTTAAATAAAAAAATATTAACTCTTCTGAAGAATGTGCATTTGTACACATTTCTAAATAGAAAAGAGTAAATCAGCTGAAAATTTTCTTAGTTACATATTTCTAAATAAAAAAAAGATTAAATCTTCTGAAGAATGTGCCTTTACACATATTTCTCAATGGAAAAAGACTAAATCTAATGAAAAGGATCATTTTTATATATTTCTAATTAAAAAAAATAAATGTTCGGAAGAATGTGCCTTTTTACATATTTCTCCATAGAAAAGAGAAATTTGTTGAAAAGTTGCACATTTACATATTTCTAAATGACTTGACTAAATCATCTGAAGAATGTCCAATTTTATATATTTATCAATGGAAAAGATTAAATCTTCTGAAAAAGATATATATTTACCTATATCTTCTGAAGAATGTGCATTTTTGCATATTTCTCGAAAGAAAATCTAAATCTGCTGTAAATTGTTTATACATTTCGAAAGAAAAAGTGAAAATCAACGGAAAAATGTTCATTTGAAATATAACTCAAAAGGAAAGATTGAATCTGTGTTAAAAAGTTGCATATCTACCCATTTGTAAAGGAAAAAAA